GCGCTGGAGCTGGGGGTCTAGCTGCGCGGGTGGCGGCACGTCCCTTCAGGTGGGCGGCTGTCTGGGTCTGGCGACAGCGCTCCTCAGCCTTTCCTCCCGGTGCCAGCTCGCGACTGTCATCGCCCCATCACTTCTTGCTGCGGAGAGCATCACAAGCACCTGGAGGACCGGCATCAGTCGCTTTGGCCCCTGAGTGTCCGTCCGAGCCTAGGGGAGCCTGTCCTCCCGCGCCTTGTCGGGGCCCGGCCAGGCACCTCCGCCGCCGGCGCACGGACGCGGGCACCGAGCACTAGATTACGGTGAGTGGAAGCTGGCCCGGAGAGGCCCTGCAGGCCCGACATCCGCCAGGCACCAGGGCTGGGAGGGGTGAGGGGCGCGCGCCGCAGTGCGGCGGCCCTGGAGTCGCCGCGGGGGGCAGGGCGCGCGGGGCTTGGGGCCTGCACGCGTGCCTTGGACGTTGGCACCCTTAGCTAACGTGTCTGCTGTGTTTTGCAGGCTGCTGGACCTCGGCACGTTGACGAGATTTCCCTGCAGTACCGCGGAGGATTACTTTGAATTGCAGTGGCCGCCTGTGGTCTGGAATATTTAGAACTTAAGTCTATTATTTCGGGCACCATGACTTTGAGGCTTTTGGAAGACTGGTGCAGGGGGATGGACATGAACCCTCGAAAAGCGCTGTTGATTGCCGGCATCTCCCAGAGCTGCAGTGTGGCAGAAATCGAGGAGGCTCTGCAGGCTGGTTTAGCTCCCTTGGGGGAGTACAGACTGCTTGGAAGGATGTTCAGGAGGGATGAGAACAGGAAAGTAGCCTTAGTAGGGCTTACTGCGGAGACTAGTCACGCACTGGTCCCTAAGGAGATACCGGGAAAAGGGGGTATCTGGAGAGTGATCTTTAAGCCCCCTGACTCTGATAATACATTTTTAAGCAGATTAAATGAATTTTTAGCGGGAGAGGGCATGACAGTGGGTGAGTTGACCAGAGCTCTTGCACATGAAAATGGCTCCTTAGACCTAGAGCAGGGCATGATCCCAGAAATGTGGGCCCCTATGTTGGCACAGGCATTAGAGGCTCTTCAGCCTGCCCTGCAATGCTTGAAGTATAAAAAGCTGAGAGTGTTCTCGGGCAGGGAGCCTCCAGAACCAGGAGAAGAAGAATTTGGACGCTGGATGTTTCATACTACTCAGATGATAAAGGCGTGGCAGGTGCCAGATGTAGAGAAGAGAAGGCGATTGCTAGAGAGCCTTCGAGGCCCAGCACTTGATGTTATTCGTGTCCTCAAGATAAACAATCCTTTAATTACTGTCGATGAATGCCTGCAGGCTCTTGAGGAGGTATTTGGGGTTACAGATAATCCTAGAGAGTTGCAGGTCAAATATCTAACCACTTATCAGAAGGATGAGGAAAAGTTGTCGGCTTATGTACTAAGGCTGGAGCCTTTGTTACAGAAGCTGGTACAGAGAGGAGCAATTGAGAGAGATGCTGTGAATCAGGCCCGCCTAGACCAAGTCATTGCTGGCGCAGTCCACAAAACAATTCGCAGAGAGCTTAATCTGCCAGAGGATGGCCCAGCCCCTGGTTTCTTGCAGTTACTGGTACTAATAAAGGATTACGAGGCAGCTGAGGAGGAGGAGGCCCTTCTCCAGGAAGTATTAGAAGGGCATTTCACCTGAGTCTCAGGGAATCACGAAGGGATATGGCAATGAGTAGAGCATGAAGGTAGAACAGTCTATATACTCTTTGACACATACAATCCCTACCTTGTGCTGCCAAGTAACTCATTTTTGTGCAATTATCAGTATAAGCCCTTTGTCGTTTCTATGCCTATTTAAAGTCTCCTAAAGGTGTAATTGACTAGGAAGGATGTAGTTCTACACTGCTGTTTACCTATTTAAATTCATCCTTGTGAATATCTTTGTTGTTGTTGTAGGGACAGAGTCTCGTTCTCGCCCAGGCTGGAGTGCAGTGGCGCGATCTTGGCCCACTGCACCCTCCACCTCCCGGGTTTAAGCTGTTCTCCTGCCTCAGTCTCCCGAGTAGCTGGGACTACTCGTGCCACCACGCCCAGCTAAGTTTTGCATTTTCAGTAGAGACAGGGTTTCACCATGTTGGCCAGGCTAATTTCGAACTCCTGACCTCAAGTGATCCACCTGCGTCAGCCTCCGAAAGTGCTGGGATTACAGGTGTGAGCCACTGCGCCCGGCCTCATCCCTGTGAATTTCTTATTGTACAAAAGTTCTTTCACTACCTGTGTGCAGTGCTCTG